GCTATTTTTGTATTTTGTGTTAGGGTGACTAGGAATTATATATTGAAATATAGTCATGTTTTCGGTGAACAGCTCGAGGTTGTTGGACATAGAACCTTTAGATTCAACCCGGCTGAGCCTCCTTGCTTCTCGACATGCCCAAAAGAGTCCAAATTCCAACAACGCTTGTATCGTATGATAGTTGTCATATAAACCACTTGAGGACTTAGGGGATGTTTAGTTAGAGAATTCAAATCATGATTTGAATCATGGTTCATAATTCGTTACAGTATTTTCTCTCACAAAAAATACACGTAAATCGAAAATAATTCTAATCACATGATTTTAATTCATGAACCAAACGTCTCCTTAATCTGATCTTGAATTCAATGACTCAAAGAAGTCATGACTCAAGATCATTTTCCTTGCGTGTTGTGTGTGTCTGTGCTTTTCCTTTCAGGATCTAGAATTAAAATAACTTTTTTTGTTGTGCAGATGGAACGTAGGATTATAAGAGTACAAAGAAGGCAACAAAAGTAATGCTTATTAGCCCATCTCCTAGATATATATAATTTCGCGTTCAGCTGTGTGGAAGGCTTTCGGATTCTATTTTACCTTGCGGAACTGATGTGAACAAATGCCCGTAGTTTCGGACTTTATGCTCCTTTGCACCTCTCTCTCTCACTCACACTCAGATTAATGTTGGCGCTTTATGTCTGCGTAACCTATATTTTGGTTAAGAAGGGCCTATATTTTGGTTAAGGACTTGTTTATTAAGATACCATCTTATCTTTAGAAACTAGGGTTGTTCTTTTAGAGTGTAATTTGAGTGTAGTTTTTGAGTTGAATTTGAGTTATAACTTGAGTTGAAGTTGTAACTTGAATAAAGTTGAGTAAAGTTGAATAAAGTTAAAATTTAAAAGAACATTAACTTGAATAAAGTTGGAACTCGAGTTATATTTTTTTGAATTTTTTGGACAAAAGAACAACAAATATTTGAAGAGGGATCAGAATTTCATGCAAAATAAGTAGTTTTGGACTTCATTTCTTCCTCCATGAAATTGGACTATTTTCAGTGCCCGCTGCACCAGGGTATCACCTCCAATATCGACTAGTACTATAAACTCAATATTGCGTGAACTAAAGTCGGCATTGTGCGTCATCTGAGCATGTATGAAAGGACCTTCTCCAGTAGACTGGCCTAGCCTATTGATAGGGTTAATTTTTTACTGTTAAATATGATTAAAATCACATCAAATTAAAAAGTATGCTGACGCGACAGAATAGAGGAAATTGGATTTTATTGGCCTAATCCGGACGGAAGATTC